CCTTCGCAGCTCGGTGAGGCACAGTGGTGCATCTCGCCGATCTACCGAAGAATTATTTGATGCGCGGCGCGACCCAGTAGTGCATCGCGCTACAAGTAGTTGGTAAATGGTAAGGTTCAGTTACAATCAAGTCCACATATTATCAGTATTTTCGACATTAGCCATAAGGTCCTGTTCACTGTTTTTCAGCGTCAAGGCATAACGCGATTTTTTATGTCATAGGTAAAATTTTACTTGAACTCGCTCGACCTTATTCATTTGGTGTAATGATATAAAATATACTATATAATGTATTTTCTTTAACATTGAAGTTAACCATTATCCATATCATGCTGATTTGCAGTATTCATTTACCCGCTAGAAAAGCTTTACTTTTACGGGGCATCCTTCAAGTTCAGTACATATTAGATGGAACGTTAGCTGCATTTGGAGCTACATTGAAGCTACATTGGAGTTTACCAAAATGATTAAATTATGAAAATTATTAGAAATGGAGGAATTTGCTGCAGGAGCAAAATTTGATCTTTATCATTGACAGTGGATGATTAATATGAACCCTTTTACCAATGGCAAATGAGATTCTCAATGATTGGAACCTCTTTGTCAACGAAGATAAAAACAGACTTCACACATGTTTACTTAGCAAAGTCAGGTGAGAAGGATGAGCAAGGTGAATTAATTGCTGGCAATGAATTAAGGAGAAAGAGCATCACACTGGGTTCCATTTTATGTAGCAAGGAATACATCACTCGGCGGATTAGTCTAGGTTATACTGCTTTCAACAAGTATATAACAAAGTCTAAAGCAACAAGATCCCCTTGGAAAAGAGACTTATGCTATATGAGGCACTGCACTGGTTGTTTCTGTTATGATGTATAACTCTAGCTGCTGGACTGCTCCTAAGTCAGTGTTAGAGAAACTTGATGTTGAAATATTTTGAATTATTGCTACCCAGTACCCTAACATTATTTCTAACAATAACTTGTATAAACGCTGTAATGTGGAACCATTATCAGCAAGAGTGGACAGAAATCGATGGAGAATATTGGGTCATGTTTTGCGTGGACCTATAGCTTGCTTGTATTTGCTATTACCACTCTGCAGTAACCAGGGCGGGTTGGACAACCGCAAACTAACCTGTTTTCGTTGATCAAGTGTGATATAAGTAACCGTAATATTTTCTTAAATAATTTTAGACGACCCCAACGTTAATGTGGCTCTTGCTATGTGTTGGTTCAGCCGAATTAATTATTATGTAATCAAGTTTATTTTTCTCTTTAAGTTAGTTGTCATCCGGCCAAACATTAAGCAACTTATATTGCAGTACCATTTATCAATTAGTTTATCAAAATATGTCATTGTAATTTTGCATGGCTGAAATGTAACGCTTGATTTATATATATAATAATTAATTGAATTTTCAAATTAAAAAAAATTTATGTGATCTTTCATATTTAAGAAATTTAGCGTTGAACAAAGTTTTTTGGAGAAGATTTCAATTTAATAAAGATTTACTTTCAGTTAGTGAGAAAGATTGGGCAACAACGTTGTTAAGTTTTAAGCTATCTGTTGTTTAAAACTTAAGTATATATACAAATATAATACATTATAATACTAAAAACCCGCTCGCGCTAGTCGAAAGCTTTGTTTGAGGAAATTTTAAAATCCGTCATGTTTTAATCTCTCTTCATCTTCTAGCTCTGTACTGTGAAAATTATTGATTTTATTTGACGATGACAACAGCATTGTAAGCATTTGGATTCCCTAAGCGATACTTGTCAAAAAATATCAATCACAACCAAAGTCATAGTGTGAGCAAAAATGTGAGCAAGTCATGACGTATAGCATGGCAACGCGCATTGCTAATCTGCGCTTACTCGTGTTCAATCTTTTGATGGAAAATCAAAATATGTCCGAGATCAGACCAAACAGATCAAGTATACCAATATACTATAGTAAAGTGATTATATGTTTTCAGTACACTACAATATGGTGACTGTATCACCCAGTTTTAACATTTGATAATTGTACATTTTATTGACGACACATTGACTGAATGTTATTTTATATTCTAATTTATATTCTAGATATTTTATTTATTTTTCAACAGACGACAACTTCCTGTTTTTTCTTCTATATTAGTTACTCATATCTCTTTTACAGACTTTTTTACAAGGACATTGACAGATGATACTCACATTAGGCATTCATTATTGCATCTAAATTATTTCACTTGCATTAGGTTTAGAAATTTATTCTCTGGTTAACAGATTTCAAATGTTTAATTAATTTGTAGTATGACAGTAAGGTATATAAGAAGTTATTTAATTTTGCTTGGGCTATTATATTGACTATTGAGGTTTAATGATGATATGGAATTTGAATTCTATATAAATTTACACTATGTGGTTGGGGCATTTTGCATAGTAAATATGGTTACTACTCCTATATATCATATTATTTGATTGGTATTCGATTTCTGATTATTTCTCTAGGAATATGATTATTATATCTCAATTTGGCTTTAGGTAGGGTGCCCCGCTAAAAGAACTGGATTCTTCCAGGAAGCATCCCGTGCACAGACCTTGGTCTACATATATATTAAATTATTAACCATTCATTCTGTATGTGCACGAAAATTTATTTCAATCAATATTGTAGATGTAACCTAAGAAGATCCTTGATGTTTTGACAGGGCCCCTCTTGAACACTCAATCACAGTGATTCGGTTAAGTCAACTGAGATTTTTCCCTAGACTAGTTGACACTGGTATTTGAACCCAGACCTTCTGCTTGAGATGCGGACCAAGAATCATGGTCGTTGTTAAGTCTAGTTGTGGCATGCCTACTGTCTAAATTAATGGAATGTTTTGGAGTTTAGTATTGGTGTGAAGCTACTACATCAGCTCCAATTAACAAAAAATTGCGCAGCTAAAGCACAACCATCTTGTAGATGATAAGTCTTCAACAGCTGGATGTAGAAAAGGATTGCATTCAAGATATTACTGCTCTAAGCTTCAAAAGCTCACAAGTCCCTGCTATTGTTACTATTGTCTAGTGTACTATCAAATTTTTAACAAGTTAAATACTGTATTTTTACAGAATGACAGGGTCCAAGAATAGTGCTGATGGCATAGAGACACACATTATTCGCAGATACGAAATACAGAAGCGGCTTGGCAAAGGAGTAAGTAAGACCCTTGGCCTTGGCCCCTTAAAGATTTGTGAACATAATAGGTTGCTGGCATTAATAATAACGATATTAATGGTGAACCATTGGTACTGTCTTCTGACTTCACAAGTTGATTAATTTATCATTACCTGATTTTCAGGCCTATGGAATTGTATGGAGAGCTGTTGATAGAAGGAAAAACCACGTGGTAGCTCTTAAAAAGATTTTCGATGCTTTTCAAAATGCCACTGATGCTCAGAGAACCTTCAGAGAAATTGTCTTCTTACAGGTACAACGTTTTGACTAACTCATTTACAAGTTGTTACCAATACATGCATCATAATGATGCGATATCCATGAATTTTGTACTATAGTTAAGAATTGTATTATTATACAGTGGCCCATAAGTCAGTTTGCAAACGTTTGGACTTAAATATAGCCATTTTTCATGTTTGAGATGTGTAACTTTGCAAATGGCTTATTGAAACTACTTATTCGAGGATTGAGAACTCACAAGTATTGTGTAATCAATAATCTGAGATACAAGTGATTATTTCCCGCGGTGAATACTGTCTCGTCTCATCCAGCCTTTTTGAGAGTAGTTCCGAGAATTTAGGAGTTTATATATCGGTAGTAAGGTTATTTTTCTGGACATCAAAAAAATCAGCTTCACAATTCTTACCCCACTGGGTTTAACCGTACAATTATTAAAGTAACTGTAGTTAGCAACCAATAACACCAACTGCAAAATAGTAGTTTAAGTTATCCAATCTGTTAGTACTACGTGACGCTCAAGTTTCTAATGTCTGAAAAATAATTGCTTATTTACAATCGATAATTAGGTACAGTGTACACGCCATCTGATTATTGATCGTTGCAGGAGTTTGGTAACCACGACAACATTATAAAATTGCTGAATGTTATACGAGCCGACAATGATAAGGACATCTATTTAGTTTTCGAATACATGGGTAAGTGTAACCTTATATTAATTAAGATACTGTGCCCGTGTTACTTTCTGACAAGCAAACAACATGTTTTGAAAATTGAGTGCCTTCTTGTTGGGGCAGCACAGTTTTTTTAATTGATAAAGTTATAATAATTTTGTTTTGTTTTTTTACGCTCAGTTTCTTTTATCCCCCACCTTAGTAACCTCCCTCAATTTTTCAGATACAGATTTATATGCAGCTAATAAAGGAGGAATTTTACAAGACATCCACAAAAAATACATCACTTACCAGGCAAGTGTAAACATGTTCTATAGTTGTCACATTTTAAATGAAGAACCACTTGCACTGTTATTAAAATGTATTCACCGCTCAGCAGACTTGACTTTACACAACAAAGTTTAAGTAATAAAACGACGATCTTCTCTTCCAAATACCAAATATGGTGCCCCATTTATCTTTTTACAATCAGCAGTAAAGCTGTACTAGAGTCTAAACCATCAGGGATAAACTTCACATTATACCGTACAAGGCTAAAACAATTTAAAGTGTTCGAAGAAACTCTCTTCAGCATGAACTTATACTCTAGATATTCATTTCATTTTTATCTCATATAATGGTCGAAGAAGGAATTGATCATTTGGTCGCTAAAGTCTGATCTTTTAAGTGCTTTAATGGCCGAACCATTGCATTGCAGTAAAGCGTATATCAAGTGCAATAAATGGTTGCAGTAAATTGGTTTGATTCGATGGACAGCCTAATAGGGTACGCAAAAGACCAGATTCTTAGAATTCGAACATGTTACGTACTATACCACTATACCACTATACTAAGCAACATGATCGAATTCTAAGAATCCTGTCTTTAGCGTGCATTAAGCTAACTTATGGGACTACAGCACATTAGAGTGAAATAATACGTCTATGTTACGATGATATTTGATGTTACAAAATCGCGTTCTCTGCAATTTTTGATTGCGTAACTTATTAGACACCTGGACACCACCATGTTTTTTGATTTGCGCAACTCAGAGATTGCTTTACACTATTTTTGAAAGAGGAGCCCTATCAAGGGAACAAAGGACGCCGAAAAGAGAACATGCCTTTAGTATTTATTTTGTATAGCTAATTTAAAGATCTCATTAATAATATAAGAGGCGCTCTTCGGCACCCGGGGATGCCTTGTTATTAATATGAATAAAAGTGCATGTTCCTTGGGACCAGCCGAGTCCTATCTAGTTCACCTCAAAATGTGTGCTCCAGAAAACTCCAAACATTGTTCTCAATTCTCCTAGATTAGAAAGTCCTAACATTATAAATTAATTTGGTTTGAAGATGATATTAAACCAAGCACCATATTGCAGATATTCAAAGGAATCAAATATCTACACAGTGGAAATGTTATACACCGCGATTTAAAGGTCAGTCCTTTTTTGTAAATTTTCTATTTTTATACTCTAGTAAGTTTGATATAAATTTGAAGTTAAATATTAGAGACATTCCGTTTGTAAATGCAGACTTTTTTAACGTTTTTAATAGTAATATAACAGTTCAATTATTTCTGTTACTTTTCAGCCCCAGCAACATCCTTCTGAACGAACACTGCTTTTGTAAAGGTTAGTTTTATCAAAAAAATACATGCCAACGTCAGGGGGCCTTACTTCTCCAAGTTCGAACGACACTTTTGAAATAATTTCCCCCTGTATCCCCAACCAAAAAGTTTATTTTTTCCTCGATATGGGTAGCGACCCCTAGTTGATAAGGGAGGATACTACCGGTTCCCACCAAAAAAACCGAAAAGTAGTTGTTTTCCCATGTCCAAAACCAAATTCCAAATTATAGATGGTAACATTGGCTGAAAAATTAATTTTCACTTTTGTACTAGTTCCCACCGTCACAAGCTAAACTGAGTTATTTGTTTAAAAAAGGTGGGGCGGACTTGTTGCGTATTGGCGTACTAATAAAAAGCCTTCGCCAGAACTTTACCCGCCGCGGCCCCCGAATATTTTTTGCATCATACGATATATAAATAATTATGAAATAAGAAAGGTTAATGGTAAAAGTTTTTTAAAAAGAAAAATATATTAATATTAAAAGAACCACAATTAAAATGAATATGAAAAAAAAAAAATGATAAAAAATTTTTTCAAAAAATAAAATCTAAGGATCAGAAAGAACCAAACACTAAACCAAGTTATTTTAAACTGAAACTACTCCCTCCCAGTATTTATGGTCAGTAAGAAAAACTAAAAATATTTACCCCATAGAATAAGAGCTTTTCTCCCTCCAAATCATAGTGGTGGACAAATTAAATTTAAGGTAATGGGTCTTTAAAAAATTTTTTTAAACATATCACGGAATTTAAACGTATTACGACTTTTTCACAACGATTTGATAAACTTATTTTTTGTAACAGAAAAACGTATAACAAAGTAAGGTAGAAAAATTATAAATTGTTTTAAGTATTCCCCAAATAAATTACGTTTCATTCTAGTTTCCTCCTTTAGCCTGCAATGTAAAACACCATTTTGAAAAAAACTGAACTTCCTAAAAACCTCTCCCGGGTCATCAACAACTTCTGTTTTTTTGTTCTTTCCAAAGCAAATTTCCTTTTTTTCAAAATCCTCCAAAAATTTTACGAATTTGAATCGAATGCGTTTTCCTTAAGTACTGCTTATTCACCTAAAAAAAAAACCACAAAGACTAAACCTTCCTTACATGAAAAAAAATAGACCCTCGAAAATAGCACCTTTCCCTTCCCATACAAAATCCCGCATAAAAATAAAGTGGAAGCCCCCAAACATAACTTGGTTCCCCGGAACTATATAAGGTATGAAGAATTAAAATGTTACAAAAGTATAGGTGGGCAAAATTTATTCCTCAAGAAAACTGCTCTTCCACTCCCCCAAGTATTCCCCTTGTTATAAAGTGGGAGGGATTTTTCTCAAGAAACTGCTCTTCCCTAAATAACCCCCTCCCAAAGTTATTTCCCCCTTTGAACTCCCCATGGTGGCTTTGATTTTGGATTAAAGAATTAAAATCTCCCTAATCTTAGTGAATAAGCCCTCGTGACAAAGATACTGGGATACAGCAGAACAATTATCCGTCCTGGGTTAAATACTCTAGCAAACATATTCCCTAGTTTTTTTTTTTTGAATAATCTGAAGTTAGGGGGTGGGAATTTTAGTAAGACTGGTAAGAGTAGAAAGACATGTTTTCCCCCTGGTGTGGTCCCCCTTGTGGGTTTGTTCCCGGCACCCCATCCTCTCTTCAACTGCAACCTGGGGGATAAGTACCAGAACCAGTTAAAAAAAACCAGGAAATTAGTACCAGATTAGTTTAAACCAGATAGTAAAATACCAGATAGTTAAACCCAGATAGTAACCAGAATTAGGTACCCAGAATATTAACTACCAGCTAGAAATAGTTAAAACCAGAAAAGTGCCAGAATATGTAACCAAAGGAAATTAGTACCAAATATAGTAAACCAGATAGTAAACCAGAATAGTGACCAAGTATATAACCAGATATGCCCCAGATAGTACCACATAGTATACCCAGATAGTACCAGAAATAAAGTTAACAGGATTTACTAACAACCAAGATAGTACAGAAAACCAGATAGTTCCAGATAAAGGAAAAAAAAAACCTAGAATAGTTAAAATAAACCAGAATAGTAACCCCAGATAAAGTAACAGATTAGTTAAACCAGAAAATTAGTAAATAAACCAGAGAGTAACCAATAAAAAGTAACCAGAAGTAACCAAGATAAGGTTACAAGATAGTAAAACCAGAAATAGTGGCCAGAATTAAAGGCACCAGATATGCCAGATTAGTAAAACAGATAGTGGCCAGATAAAAACAGGTAAACAATATAAGTACCCAGATAAAAGGGTACTTAGATCTTATTATAACCGGAAGAGTAAAAGTACCAAACAGGCTGATTTTATTATAAAAAAAGTTTTGCCCCCCCAGTTTATGTTTCAAAGCTGTGTTCCCAAATATCAACCAAATCAAAAATGTCCCCGTCCAACCTTTTCAAAATTGGAAAAAGCCAAATACTGAAAATGTTTTTTAAGCTGTTGTACCTGCAGCCACTAAATAATGAAAAGGGCCCTGGAATCAATAATTCAGCGGCCCGGGCCTACCTTCCCACGTTGGTTTTACATAAAAATTTTAAGATTTTACGTTTGAAAATCCTTTAGATCATCCATGGAAAAACCAAATACCATTTTTTTACAATGACCCGGATTTTTTCATGAAGGACACGTGCCCAAAGAAATTACCTATTGTGGGTCCTTTTTATAAACCCCTTGCCCAAAATAAGAAATTTACCGGTTTTGTCAAGAAAATGGCAACGCCCTCCCCTACAATACAGGACTTTTGCTGGGGTACTTACGTGGGGTAATTAATTCCCCCACCTCCAGCCTGCCCCACGAACCTCACTTTCAAAAACTTACCTCTTAAAAAGTTCGGAATAAGGGTGGGTTTATAAGATACGGAAAAATTTTATCCCTTCCACGCCACGGGGCGTTAAAGTTTGCGTATATATTATTTTCCGAACAAATTTCCCCCCACCGCGTAAGTCCCCCCCCAACAGCCTGCCCTGGACGCTCACTTCCCTCCCTGTCCCACCGAAGTGGTATGGTCCCACATGAATCAGGGCGGTTGGGGGGTTGGAAGCATCCATATAATCCCCCCTGGGCCGGGGGTTTTATTTTTTTAAAGTGTTGTGTTTTTTCCCAACTGTTCAAACTTGGGGTCTCGGTAAATCTGAAACAGGAGCCCCTTCTCAGTTGGATCTCCCGTAAACTACTACGAAAAAACCGATTGTTTTTTTCCTTTCCTCCCGGTCGGGTTTTTGTTTTTTTTTGCCCTAGTGGGAGGAGACTTGGTTATTTTTAAAACTATTTTTTGGCAGCGTAAGTGGGAACGGCCCCCCTCGAATATGTTTGTCGAATCATTTGTGTTGTGAAAGTCCCCGCCAAAAGTTCCTTTACGACTTTGCTAAAAAACAATTTTACAAATTAACTTCTTCAAATTATTAATATTTTTTCGTATTATATTGAAGTGAACCCTAAAAATTTTTTACAACTTACTGCCTCCACTTTTTGAAAATCAACCCAAATCCTTTCCCTTGTAAAAGAGTCCCCCACCCCCACCCATTCCTAACTCTTTGTTTTCGCAAAAATTCCGTTTCGGGAAAAAATAGTCCCCACCCCCTCTGCCAGAAATGGTGGCCAATAAACGTATGTTGAAAGATGTCAGCCCCCATATAAACAACTGAAAACAAAT